GACTCTGGCTTCACATAGCGTCCCACCTTGGCTTTTGGAGTAGCTGGGACTACAGGCTTGTGCTACCATATTTGGCTAATTAAAAAATTTTTTTTGTAGAGACAAGGTCTCGCTGTGTTACCCAAGCTAGTCTCTAATTCCTGGCCTCAAGTGAGCCCCCTACCACGCTCTCCCAGGGCACTAAGGTCACAGGGGTACGCCACCGTGCATGCCCTCAGATTCTCTTTACTCAAGCCAGCCTTTGCTTATGTTTTCAGAGTTGGAACAACTTTGAGTTTCAGCCTCTTGTTTGAAAGGTCAGCCTTTTGTTTGAAATTTCATAGCTGCCAAATAAATCTGAATGAATCTGAAAACAGTGTAGGTAGCTGAGGTCAATCCTTGTTTTTAGTGACTGTTACTGAAGCTCCCTTTCCTCTGTTGGTAAGGGTGGATACAGGATAGGAGAGAGTGGCGGTCTCTGTTGAGCACTTTGTGAAATTGTCTTTCTAAGTCCTGGGGCCCAAATAGCAAGGGAATGTGGTGGTGCCCTTGAAGAGGCTACTGCCTGCTGACCCAGAGCACTCCACAGGGCAGGGGCTTGGAGGGCCTGTGGAAAGGAGCCTGGTGCTGCTCCCAGCCCACCCCAGGAGCGTCTGACTGTCCCTACTCCTGGGGCAGCTGCTGGCCGTGGGCCTCAGCTGCTGTGAACAGGCCTCTTGAGAACTCAGCTTCAGGGGACTGGGTGGGTAAGGGTTGCACCATCTGTGACCCTTCATATTGTGCGTCTTATTTATATATTTATTTATTTATATTCTGCCTTATTCCAGGAAAGTGTTAAAGGCAGCAATGCTTGCTTTTGATGTTCTGTTTTGATATTTGAAAAGTTTAGTTGAAAATGTACTTGTTAAACAGGTAATTTTAAAAAGAGATGGCAATTAGCAGTTTCCTCATGTTGACTGTGTTTCTGTTCACAGGGTTAAATGGTACCATTTTAAGTTTTATTTTCCTTCTTCCATGAATTGATTCTTCAAGTAAAAAGTTGTGAAAGAGGGAGAGGAACACACAGCAAGCAGGATAAGTGAAGGAAAGCCCTTCCCGGGCTGCTCTGGCCCTGTGCTAGAGCTCAGGCCTCTGCGGTCTTGGGAGAGGCTCTGTGAGCAGTGGAGGCCCCACTGGAGACATCGGGGCTGCCTGCTCGCCTTTCCTGGGGATGTTGTGTGGTAGTGTGGGAGGATGCACGTGCGTGCGGGTGTACTTTGGATGTGAGCAGTCTCTGGGCACAGGCAGGCTGCTCTCTCTGTGTGTGTGTCCCTGTTCTCAGGGGAGATGCTGTCAAGGTCATTGGTGCTGGAGAAGCCTGTGGCGTGGGGGGGGTCAGGGCC